GCATTCAGCAGGGTGCCTAGAAAGACTTTGAACTGTGCTTACCTTTGGGAGGCTGCAGGAGCACCGACTCTTTAAAGAGGTGTTTCTTCTTCATTGGCAGCAAGATGGTCTCCCTGATCTCCCGGCAGATGTTCTCCAGTCCACCGATATCAGCCCAGGAGATGGACAGGGTCAGGGGGTCCACCAGCTGGGCAGCTATGCTCATCTCGTAGTCGCTCAGCTTGACTCCCTTCACACCGATGCTCTTCATCAGCTTCTGGGCCTGCTTGGGAAAAGGCACACTGGTGCTGTGAAACGTGCCACCATTGTGGCCACAAACCAATTTTATCTCAAGTCGTGTGACAAGCTACTCAAGTGAACGGAGACAAAATAAGACATGGGTTTGTTGTAACACCATCTAGATCATGCTGGTGAACTGTGACAAAGCATTCCTTTCATGCAGTTTATTCTACTGCTTGGAACCTTACTTAATCTGATCTACCATAACTGATCTCTTATTGACTTGAATATGACTAAACTATTCTAACCATCTAAAACTTGATGCCCCAAAGATACTGTGTGAAACTATACGCGGCCTTAGCATACTGTATATCTATAGATAAAAACTGGTGTAGAGTGGCTTAGGTCATGAAGAACGTCTGCCGTGGCACACACGCAATAGCCTATTTTATGCACACATTTTTGGACACAGACACATATGCAGATGTCTATTCATTTAACTTCCAGCATTCCAAACATAAGACACTGGCTAAGAACTAGGTAAGTTGTTTGTAAATTGCTTTTCAAGTATGGGCTAAATAAATGCTAATCGTTTACAAGTATATTGAAATCGTGAACAACTCGATCAGGGTATTAAGAAGTTTTAGCGACCTGAAGGCCCAACCCACTTGAGAGGTCTCACAGGTGCTGTAAATGCCACACCTGCAATTTATGCAATTCTGTAGTCTTAATGTAAGACATTCTTGGCCCTGTTGTCACACTGCCAGGCACGCCTGCCATCATCACATCACTCACACACGTATGTATTTGCCTGCAACTGGGGACCCCCTATTGTTCCTC